TTAACAACCACTTTACATGAAGACATTACTACTTTTTTTAAACTCAACTCATACTCAAGTCCGAAGGAAGTTACGCAAACGGGTTTATTTTGCTCAGATAACATAAATATAAGTTGCATAAATTAAAATTTTGCTTACTTCGACAAATATTCATTAGAGCATTAATTAATTAATACTGATCAGTATGGTTAAGAATTACATCAATTGTCAACTTTCGTTTCTAAAAATTTAGTTCTGTCCCAAAGAAAACAACGCGTCTCTATTACAAAGATCAGCTAAGTAATGCTGTTTGAGAAAATAATCGTTGTTTAGTCTGAGAATCATACTCTGTGGATAAAATTCGAATTACAGAATGTTAAAGCAGATAACACAGAGTTACCACTGAACATTGAATGGCTAAACATAGGTAGTGACTTATTAGATTTCCTTACAACCTGGTTTCTAGGAAGAATGCTCTTCGAAACGGGTTTCGACGTTGCTGGGAATTCTAGGTAGCACAACGTTTTAAAATACGACAGACAATTAATATTCTGTAGGATCATGAAATGGCGAAGCAACTCTCACGTACAAAACCGTGGTCAGTAACCTGTGACATTGTTAAAGAGTCGATTATGATGCAACATTCACGAAGCAACCATTCCGAGTAAGGAAAACGAGGAACTTTGTTCGTCAGCAGCGAGGTTTATAGTAATTAGTTGCATTGCTGTAGTCGTTATATTTATTACTGTGGTTTTACGTGACATTTCTCTGCTTAAAATTTGCTTAAAATTGCTAGCCGCAATATTTTCATGGAAGATACTCGGATTCTGTTATGGGGCAATCCATGTTGGATGTTTGATGCATGAAGTGATAGCGCGCAGATTTTCCACCAAATACTTTGTTCCGCCCTTGTAATCATCATTCCACCAATGCTCCGTACTCTCCTGGCATCATCATCATCATCATCATCATCATCACTCGGGACTGGTAAAATACATAAAGTTGATCATTATCTGTAACCTTCTGTACCACCCATCCAGGAATTCAAATCATTTATACATGTGGGTATCAATAATTCAGTCATGGACCAGTGAAGAAGAAACAATCACATTTCGAAGACCGATATCACGTTTAAACGTAATTATTACCAATACAAGGAGTAATTCCTTTGTTTTATAAGAAATAGTTCGTTATCACAAATATTGAATATTCGAAATTAAGAATTACGAATCAGGAAATATGAAATAACTAGCGTAAAATAACCCCTCAGACATTTTTATGTAATTCAATTATTGATTTTATCCAACAAAAAGCAATTAGAATGGTATGGACATACAAAAAGGATGACAGAAGAGAGATTACCGAAGGAGGTCATGGAATGGGTACCGCCTGGAAGAAGGAAAAGAGTAAGTCCGCCAAACACCTGGATTAGGGAATTCAATCAATAATGAGGGAGAGAAACATCGAAGAAAATTTGTGGGCAGACAGACAAGAATGGAGAAGAAAAATTAGAATGTAAAATGTTAAATTCAAATGTAACCTTGGGTACCGGAAAAATGTATAAAAATTGTTAAAACTCCAATATATATACATTTTTATGTTCAGCAGAATTATCTTTGCAAATCGCATTAAAAGTACAACATTGATAACATTTCTCTTTTAAGTCAATTCAATGTGAAGACATCTTCACGACGACTAAAGTCACATTTCAACCAAACGCACCATCAAAAAGCCGACCGCCTGACTCCAGATTACAGACCCGTTCCAAACGCAGGCTACGACATACCTCACCACAGCCTCATTTGCATTTATTGCTACCAGAGTCGCTATCGTCAGAATTTAATTTCAATTTTCTCCACATCGCAGGATTTGCAACCCCCCCCCGTCCATAATCTCATTCCGCAACCAGTCACATTTAAAGGAGAAACGAGGCAAATAGTGATGTCAAAGCAAAATAATTACTGAATGAAACAAAACAAGGCAGAAGAGATAGTGGGAAGACAATACATTTTTCTAGCGTCTATAAATTAATGCTAAATAGAATTTGCAGTCGGACATAAACTAAATCACAGACCGGCAGTGGTACGCAGCTCATCTGTTGAGAAACACTTTTACGAACAGCTCTGAAATAAAAAGAACAATAAATAAATAAAGCAGAGAGAATTTCCATCACTTAATCTTTCCAGTTACCTCATCAGGTTAGTAATTCAGTACAGTTAAGAAAGTCAATATTTTGTAATGTGTAATGTTTGCTTGTGATAAACAGTGCCTTGTGCATTAATAAGACAATAAATTCAGCAGCAGTGACAGTTTCCGGAGCTACCAACCTTCAACAATAGCAACAGTTAGAGATGTGGCTATTGACAAAGGCGTGCCTACATAACAAAGCAAGCAGTTTAAGAATTTATAAAATTGGAAACAACTGAAAAGAAAAAAAGTGAGAACGGGTGTATTCTGTGAGGATGTGGTTGTGATGCTATGTGGATTGGTGGGTACAGAGCAAGGTTTCGGAGGCCTCCACATTCAGAGCTGAAGCCAGACACGTTCTTTTCTACTTACAATTCTGCAAGACGCTACAACCTAGAAGATCAACTTCGACGCTGTGCTTAGTAAATAAAAGTGACGACTTTTTACTCGAGATCTATCGATTTATCTGTCTGTATATTTATTCGTTGTTTCCCAGTGCAGAACGCTCCGTATTAAAGTTTTCGAATAATCGCCTCATAAATTGGCCTTATTTACGTCTCTGTATTGGAGAGTAAATCATAGATAATTTGTAACATTTTTAATGAAAATATACCATTAATGAAAACCATAAAACGGATGACGCCAAAAGCAAACGCTTTTGATAGTAGTTTGAGTGAGAGAAGACTGGTAAATAAGGTTATGTCCGTCGGGTCTCAAAGTCCAGTCAGTCTGGAAGGTGTTTCTGTGGAAAATGCAGTCTTCACAGTTGACAATCTTAATCCTGCTGTGATCTAATTAGCAATTCATCGGAGCACTACTGGGGGCATGTCCTTGAACTGCTGCCTTGTAACGACGTAGCAACTTCCAGCACCTCACGACACCAAACCACGTATTATTAGGCTATGTTAATATATATGAACGCGTGTGTAGAACCAACGTGTATAATATGTATTTATGCATAAAATATGTTCAAATTATTCGTATTTCGTTATGAGTTTCATCTTCATAATTTTTGTGTTCTTGTACTGTTATCACAGAACTGTGTACATGTCTATGGCGAATATTGCTTTTCTCAAAAATTTTAATATATTAGTGCATTATAATATACGGTATCTCACGATGAAGAGTTTCATGCAATCTTATTGTCATTTGTATGTCTTTTATGTATAAGGTACGTTCGTAATAATCTTCATACTTCGTTTTATTTACATTTTAATTTTCTGTAATAAATAGAAATACTTTAAGGATGGACATTGATTCTCAGCTGTAATTTGTTTTATGTCGCCTCAAATAAAAGTCTCTCGTAAGCATTATGCAAGTGTTCTCATCTTTAAACAAAACTTTCGAACAGGTACTTTTACTGAGATTCAAGTAAATTATGAAAACAAATGTCAGTATAAACGGTCTACCGCCTAAGGTTTGCACTTGGTACTTCTGAAATCAGAAACAAATCCTTGTAGGAGCACAAGGGGAGAGGAAAAGAAAAGACCAGTGGGTGCATGGTGAAGATAACTTGCACGGAACGAAGCTGCATGTAATACGCTTTTCTCTTGACAAATCTTCGATTCGATCGGGCTAAATTCCCTGTAAGATGGCTTGTTACGCCACTCTTTGCGATTGGCATACAAAGCACGTTCGATGGAGGGGGGTGGGGTGGTTATTGTGTAGACTGTTGGACCCATTCGCAAATTGCAGTAACAGAGGACGTGCAGTCTCTCACACCATTGTTAAGCGGACCACTACAAAAGAAGAAGAAAGTAAACGCCATCTTAATTTGCTTTGGCACAATATCAAATTCGAAACTAATAGCTGCAACTGGAGTAATACTGATGGGCTTTCTCACAAGACACGCCCATCCGACATCAGCAGATCGCCGGCCAAGAAGCAGATATGTGTGTACATTTTACTGTTCACAAAATGTTAGAATTATTAAATCCAAGGAGGATGCGATAGGAGGGGAATGTAGCGCGAATGTGAGAGATCATAAATGCGTACGGTGCTAAATTTTGGATGTAAAACATGATGGGAAGAAAAATACCATTCTAAACATCTAGGCATTGATGGGTGGATGAAATTATAATTGAATTCGTCTGCTTGTTCTATAAAGACTTGTTTATTTAACGACAAAGATAAATGTAATTTCTATGTGCTGCATGAAAGACGTGCAGGAGTAATTTTAAATTATAACAGCCTTTGAATGCTATTTCGTTGCAGTTTGGTAGTGACAGATATTAAATTATTGAATTTCATCATTATGAACAATGCAAGTTTAATTTCTGTTCGTAAACTTCCAGTCATAGTTGGTGGACTGTTACTGTTTCCTCCATTTTCCCTACCGTGAGTGTTTCAGACCCTGTAAGATTTTATTCTGTGACAGACAACTGGCAATTATTAAACTGTTTTTAATGTCTGGTTTAAAAGTAAGACATACTGATGCAATATATTCTGACCGATCGCAGTGGTCGCTCAGCCTAACATGTGGGTTTCAACTGCGCATGAAGTGGAATTGCGGGTTCGAATCCCACTGGAATCTTTAGAGTCTTTTTTGGGTTCTTTCCGTGTAGGCAGAGGGTTTGCGACGAACTGCAAATAGTCCTACTAAACGTCGAAAAGGCTGTTACAAGACTAATTGGAAAACTCAAAGCCCAAATAGTTCTAGAATATTACAGACCTTCATGCTCCCAATGTGTACACCACGAGTCTCTTTAGATGGCAGCATAGTACTAACCACCTACTTGTCCCATCTAGTGCATACGTGTTAAACCCTCTAGTTATGAAATCAGCTGACAGATGGCAGAACAGGCCGCACCACGCAACAAAAGAAAAACGTACGTCCGTTTCTGGTTTTAGAGCGTGGTATAAGGAGTTTTGAAAAGATGAATTATTATTATTTATGTGTATTTTAAAAGTTCTTCGTTGGTAATATATATGTGTATTAAACATGTTTGCCCGAGGAAATAAATTATCACTACGTTCATTAGCCTTAATACAGGCAAATAAGGGAGGAGTTTCTTTTTGTAAATTTCGATATAAGTGGCATCGAACGTTTGAAACTTCTTCACAGTGTTGTGGGAAAAGAGATGATACAAATTTTTCATCATTGTTTATTCCTGTACCTATAAAGCCAAATCCAGATGACATTAATGTTGGTGCTGAATTAACGGGTTCACTGAATAAATCAGACTTACTGAAAGTTTTAAATAAATTTTACCAAAAGAAGGAAACAAAAATATTGGCTTTGGAAAATGGCCTCGACAGTATGTATATAATAAAATGCTCTTCATTACTCTTTCACAATTGCAACAATTGATACTGATAAACATAATGAATCATTGATTTACACTATGGTGACCACACGTACCTGCCTCTTGAGTGTATCATCTGTAGTTACTAGACCCCCCCCAACATGAAACATGCAAAATTTCTGCCCTCCCCCTTTCAACTTTTAATTATGAGATATACTTTATTTCAGATTATCTCCTTCATCAGGCTTATGTAAGTTTCCGTCGATACTGTTTAGAGGCAGAAGCATTGCCTGTTGACCTTCATGTTGTTATAAGTGACATTCTTCAAGGAGCAGGTCATACTGATGATATATTTCCTTATTTTCTGCGTCATGCAAGACAGATGTTTCCTCACCTTGAGTGTATGGATGATCTTAAGAAAATTAGTGATTTAAGAAGCCCAGCAAACTGGTAATTTTTTTCCACTTAACATGGAATTTCATTGCATTTGAAATGCATACAGTGATTTGTGTACTACAGTGTTTTGTGTTAAAGGTATCCTGGTGCACGAACCATTGCAAGAAAAATTGTGTTCCATGCCGGTCCTACAAATAGTGGGAAGACGTTTCACGCCTTGGAAAGATTCTTGAACTCAAAGTCTGGAGTGTATTGTGGGCCTCTGAAACTCTTAGCTTCAGAAGTATTTAACAAGAGCAATGAAAGGGTGAGTTAACATAACATGTCTATGTGATTATTTAATTTCTAGCTAACTTTGTTACACAGTCACCATGATCCCTTGTTATTCAATGTAAGGAAAAATTTAAATAAAGAACTGGTTCAATAGATTTTCATAGTTTATTAGTTTCCATGCTGTAGTGAATCACAGTATAGTGTGACAAATGTATTTTATTCAAACAGTCTTGTTTCCTTAGTATGATGTCAGCAGTATGTACACTATTAGATGCTTCAGTCAAGCTCCCCTATTTAAATGAAAGGATGAAACATTTTGATCACTGTATATCATTATTGCAGGGCACGCCTTGTGATCTGGTGACAGGAGAAGAACGAAAGTATGCTGAAGCTAGTGGCAAGCCATCAAGCCATGTGTCATGTACTGTGGAGATGACATCTGTCAACATTCCATGTAAGTGAGCATTGTGATCAGTAGTTGCTTTTTACAGGTACTGGTGTAAATACTTTTGAAGTAAAAGTTTTGATCATCTTCTTATTTAATGACACACTGCAGCTCAGACTATATAATGTTGAATGATGTGACGATTAATAAAAAAAATGAATTGGGAAGACTGCGGAACGAAGCCATGGTGGCCTAATTTAAGGTATTATTCCTCTATTCACCTGGAGTAACTAAAGAAAACATCTAAAACATCAGCCATATTAGCTAGTCTATGAGCCAAGATTTTAACCACGGACCTGCA